TGATAAAGCAGTCATTTATAGCTTTATCCAGAACACTTTCAGTAGTATGATGAAGTAGAAGTCATATTGTAGTACTTATGAGAAAGTAGATGTAGCAAAGAGAGAATGTTTTTCATTCATTTAACATTTGTTGTGTTGCCCATTATAAACAAAACACTGTGGTAGGCTTTGGGGAGATACAGTAACAAATATGACATAGCTATATCCTATTTTTATTAGCCTATATTCTATGATTTATTTATTTATTTATTTATTTATTTATTTATTTGCTATAAAGGAGAGAGAGGAATTTTTTTTTCCTTTTTTTTTTTTTTTTTTGAGACAGAATCTCACTCTGTCACCCAGGCTGGAGTGCAGTGGCATGATCTCCGCTCACTGCAACCTCTGCCTCCAAGGTTCAAGTGATTCTCCTGCCTCAGCCTCCTGAGTAGCTGGGATTACAGTTGCGTGCCACAACGCCCGGAAAATTTTTGTATTTTTAGTAGAGATGGGGTTTTGCCATGTTGGCCAGGCTTGGCTCACACCCCTGACCTCAGGTGATCCACCGGCTTCAGCCTCCCAAAGTGCTAGGTTTACAGGCATCAGCCACTGTGTCTGGCCGAGAGAAAGGATTATAACTGCTAAAGGGGTTGTATGGTTGAGAGAGGGTTATTATTTATTTTTTAAAGATTTGAGCATATTTAAATGCTGACAGGAAAGAACAGATAGAGAAGGAGAGTTAATGATACAAAAGCAAGAAAGATTAATTTCAAGCACGCAATTACTGAAATGTTATATAAGCATGGGATTTAGAATTTAAGTTGCAAGAGCCGTGGATGAGAGAGCGGATCTTGCATTATAACAAGAGAAAAAGATGGATTCTGATGGAGCTGAATTTGGAGGTTTGGTGCAAAAAGTTGAGGGAGTTCTGATCTGATGACTTCTATATTCTCTGAGAAGGAGGAGACAAAATTGAGACTAAGGGCAGAAGTAGTAGCAGTTTAGAGAAATCTGAAACATTTGAAATAGCTGCCATGGGGAATGGAAGAAACTGTTGAAAGGAAAGCAGTTTGTTGGGAGTGTTGAGGTTCTTGACCTTGAATTTACAATGGCACCAATCTGTGAGACTTGTGGTGTTCTCCAACACCAATCCATATGCTAGAGACTGGGACAGCTAATAATTATAATTGAAATCACATCGTATTGGGGTTTTGCCAGGTAAGTTCAGTGGATTCCAGCAAGTAACCACGTGATCTGATGAATCATGGAGTCTAAGTTAGGAAGGCCAGGAAGGAAGTAAAGCCAGTCGGGGGCTAATAGTTCAGTGCCTAGCACATAGATACTCAGTTAATGTTTGTAGCTCAGGAAAAAATGAAGGCATTTGTGAACTGATTGTCCCAACATGTTCCAGATAGCAAAAAAGGAAGAAATTGGGGATCATAAGGTAGAATGTCTGAATTTATTTCTTTAGAAGTAGAGCATTTCTGAGTGTGATTATGAGAGTAGAAAAGGTTATTGGAGGTAAGAAATATATAGTGAAGTCACTAGGCTGACGTAGGACTTGGGTTGGAAAGGAAGACTGAACTGTATGCTAAATTACTCAATGGCTAAGGGATAGCGACAAAGAGGATGGGGATGGTGAGCAGAATGGTCCTAATCTCAGAGTAGCAGAGCTTTTTGCACAGGACACCAGCCCCACCTGACAGAACTGTCTGGGGGTACAGTAGAGCGTTAAACATTCATTGGAAGGAGCTGAAGAAAAGACTATGTCCTTTGCAGGGAGCCCACTTTCAGTTAAGCCTGGAAGGGGAAAATTAACCATTCCTTGAAGAGAGAGAGGATATAGAGACTACAGCGGAAAGGTTTAGACAGAGAAGCTGGAGGAAACTGATTCTAGAAAGGGAACATAGAATTTGGAGATAGAGTATGAGAGAAGGCAGATAACAGATGACTGAGAAGCTTACTAAATATTGTTCTTGGATTGTTCTTAATGTGAATGGTAGTTACACATTTTCAATTGTTTTTCTTCCACAGTCAGTGGGAAGGCACTATAAGATAAATTGAGGTTACAACTTAAAGTTTTATGGTTGCAAGTTGTCAGAAAAAAAATTTTTAAAAAAACTCAAACTCAAACTGCCCACAAAAGTAAAAGGAAACAAAATAGTATTCTAAAAGAAAATATTTTAATGAATCAACAAAATGAAATAGAGGGATAAAGGCAAAATTAAATCCTTAAATATATGCCATATAATTAACTTGTATTAACGTATTCTAAATTCTGATTTAAGAATTACTCCTAGGAAAATTGCCACCACACTATTTGTGTTTACTGTATTTCTTTCCAGCTGGTTACTTTAGCAAATAATTCATTTATGTTCTGTGGAAGAATCTCCCATAGTATATTGAAAGTTATCAAAAGTTTAAAATTGTACTTACATGACTCTAATATGCATCTGTGGCCATGGAAAGCTAGGGAACATCCATGCAAATTACACAATTCTCTTGTAAGTTATACCTTTCTTTAAAGAGGATTGTTTGTCTTCAAGTACTTTAAAGCACAAAGTTATCTTTGGGATGTGTGGCATATTTTTTTATGTTGCCCCTGTGGTTATTCTAACAAATTTTGCCATGTCTTAAAATAATATATGTGAGATCAATTGGCAAGTTACGTATTTATATTGGGGGTGGAGGAATGGTAGAGATAGTGACACATCTTGGGAAGTAAATGTTTCTTAAAGGAATGATCTTATATTCAATTCCTGATTGATTTTTTTTTAATCTAAAACTCTTACTATATGATTCAGTTTGCATGAATACTTACCACCGACAAAGCACAGAAAGGGAATATAGTGAAAGTTTTATGAACATTTAAGTTGCTTAGTGTTTTTAAGTCACTCCATTCATTCTGTTAAATCTGTTCTATTATTACTTTTATTGTACAAACTATGCTAATGCTATAGTAACACAAATAGATTTCTCAAAAAATAGAGAAGTCCTGCAAACATCACAATATTTTCATTTGTTTGTGCTCTCTTCTAGTACTAGTCCATTAGACAAACATTTCTATGCAGCCTTTACAACTTATTTGCAATTCTTTCTTCTCTCTTTCTCCCTTAATATTGCTGGTATATCTTCATATTGATCATTTTGTATGGCTGTATAATATTTCATCAAATAATGTATTGTAATTTATGGATTCTCCTAGTATTGGAATTTAAGTTGTTTTAATCTTACCTGCTTCAAAAATTTCATTTTCACCCAAGTCCAGGCAAAAAAAAAAAAAAAAAAGCAACATTAAGTCCATTTTACTGTATCAGTTTAGGTTTATAACCAAAGACTCAAAGTCATTGTGGAGAAATGTGCCTGGAGAGATATACAAACACCACTTGCCTTTTTTGTCCATGGTTAAAAGTAGTCTATTCTATTTCCTTTCTATGGTCCTCTAAATAAGATCTTTTCAATCAGTATCATGATTTTTTAAAAATCATGTGTTGGCCAGGCGCGGTGGCTCATGCTTGTAATCCCAGCACTTTGGGAGGCCAAGGCGGGCAGATCACCTGAGGTCAGGAGTTCAAGACCAGCCTGGCCAACATGGTGAAACTCCATCTCTACTAAAACTACAAAAATTAGCCAGGCAGGTTGGCACATGCCTGTAGTTCCAGCTACTTGGGAGGCTGAGGCAGGAGAATTGCTTGAACCAGGGAGGCGGAGGTTGCAGTGAGCCGAGATCACGCTGTTGCACTCCAACCTGGGCGACAGAGCAAGACTCCACCTCAGAAACAAACAAAAAAAATCATGTGTCAAAAGTCCTTTGGTGCCCATAAATTTGGGTGTTTCTAGAGTTGAATGAAAGAAAAACATATAAAGTAATGTTATGATTTAATAACCATACTTTTTGCATTTTTATGCATAAGATTTTTTTTAACTATTTTTAGTTCTACAGGATTGTTGGGCAGTATTTTTATACCATTTGGAAAGGCTTAGTATTCTTCAGAGAGACACTATTACAATGAAGTAAGGTATTCTTCAGTCCAACATTAGGTGCCACAATAGCCATAGCATCTCTTTTTAGCTATTTTTAAATGTGTTTTCATAAGCAGTATCTATAGTTCCCCATTCCACATTTTGAAAAATATGTCAGTCATTTGCTTAGAAACTTTTTTAGAAAGTATATTGCAAAATGATAGACAAAAACATTAATTGATGACGGTTTAATAAATAAGAGCATGCAATTAGTGAATCTCTAAAAGGCTGTTCTCACATGGATGATTATTTTTGCAGAATTGAATACTTAAGGCTTTAATTTTATACTTATTGCTAGATCATTATATCCAATTATTTTGACCATTTATTCAAATAATAAACCTCCAAGTCTGAATATTTATAGTGAAGAATGAGTTTGGTGAAAGGAGAATAATTATATGTCTCTCTCTCTGCTATTTTATTCTGCCTGCCATCGGAGTACAAAAATATACATTCACATCGTCTGTTTGTTGTATCGTATTCTTGGATCATACAGATTTAGTTACAATACACACACAGGTCAGCCAGCGTTAAAAGACTGAAAAGAATGAAAACTACAAATGAGGACAGATGAGCTATGCATTATGTAATGATAAAACAGGTGTCTCGGAAGATAAACAACGTTCAGAAGCAAAGAAGATTTAAATACTTTTGAATCTCTAATTACTTTATTCTGGATATTAGACAAAAAGCAAATAGCTTTCAAATGAAGTCTAAACTTTCTGTAGTACAATTGAAGCACAGAATGTTGAATAGCTCTAGCTTCGTTTACTTTTTTTTTTAGAAAGGCAAACTTTGTGCATGGCAAAAAACTTTAAAAAATTGTGTTCGTAATAACATTTTAAAGAATTAAGGTCAGTCCTATCAGGGTGCATTTAATAGTACTATAGGATTTTTAGCATTAGTCATGAATTATTTTGCATGTGCTTTCCAGAATCATACAAAGCTGAGCAATCTAGGGGCGAGAATGCTAACATATTATCTGTTTTTGTTTTTAGGACGGTGAACTTTGACATAATAAAATACTTGTATGATTTCTTGTGAAAACAAGCTTCAGAGCCATATGGACACTGTGACAATGACTAAGCCAAGCTGTGTTCATCCAACTACTTAGCTGGCCAAGGAGAGGAGTTCTTTGGCTCTACTGGATTTGTCCAAACAGGTGCTGGCCCAGCATGGAATCTGATGAAAATATTCTGATTGGTCTGGGTGGATGTGAGCAGAAGACTATTTACCAGGGACCCTGGAGTATTTGGAAGCAACGTGTTAATTATAAACAGCAGGGTTTGAGCACAATCTGTTCTACTCTTAATGATGTTATCTTAACACTGAAATTGCCTGAAACCCATTTACTTAGGACTACATTTTGCTCTGTGAACTATCCCCTGCGCTTTGAACGTGCCAGCAGCCCTTGTTTATATGCCCATTCTTTTCACTTCCTCTCCACAGGAGCCTCTGCAGTCGCTTGCCAAAGCAGATTTTCCTAAGGCCACTGTTTTAAAAGGATCATAGTTGCAAAATATAATAAATACAAGCTTTTTAAAATCCAAGCTTGTATGTGCTTATCTTTTCACTTGCTTTTCTCAAAAGGCAAGGTACTTTGATCAGAAACAGACCAACTTTCCCCCTTTCAGCCTACTTGATAACTGTGGTATGCTTGTATAAGGTTTATCTGGTCACTTTCTTAAAATTAGCTACCCAACCCAGTCTTTTTGTTTGTTTGTTTTGTTTTTGTTTTTGTTTTTTTTAAATCAGTATCATGATTTTATTTTCTTTCTTTCTCTTTTTTAAAATCACTGACCTTTAAGAGTTCCACAATACATTTTTTTCCTGTTATATCACTTGTGAACTTTGGTTTTGATTTTCTTGTCCATATTTTTGAAGTTTTCTTTTACCATTTGAATACTTGAAAATTATTTTAAGCAGACTTAAAGTTCTTAATTATAAAGCCTAGTGTAAATTTCAGTGGCATTTTATTTCATTTTTTTGAAGAAAAATTCTCACAATAGGCACTTTTAGTGTAACTATCTGGTTCAAAGAAAGCAAGTAGTTATCTACTATTTAGAGAGAATGAGTTAGGGAGAAAAGGAATGGAATTCCTTTCGCCTCCCTACATAAATAAGACAGACTTTCTTGCCCGAAGATTGACATCCACAAGTGATAGAGCATCCTCACTGTAAGTCTCTTGTCCCACAGAAAATGAAGTTTGTGTTTCACAAGATGTTTGGAGATGCCAGGATCAGGGAAAAGCCATGTGTAGTGTGGGTTCTGGCTTAGTTTCCTGCATGCAGAAATCCGTGTCATCAAGGTGTAGAAAACAATTTGGGTAGCTGATTGAAGAAGGAGCAACACTGCCTAGGATAGCTTTCAGCCCCTCATATTTTGTTTTGCAGATGCATGTCTGCTGTTCAGCCTGTCAGGGATAGGTGGAACCAGTCTGTATTTTGAGGGAAGAACTCTGGGATATAAGAGGAGGGGAGAAGTTATCAAATAGGAAACTGGGAAGAAGGATGGAAAGGAGGTGAAGTTTCCTATAAGTGACTGTGCATGCATCCTCATACAGCTGGTCACCTCTCTCCTGCCCAGTGCATTTCCTCTCCTGTACTGCCCCAGCTTGTTACCAGCCCCAGATGTGGTTTCCCTGCATAACATGTGTAACCAGATTTTCCCTGCCCCTGACTGGGTCATCAGAACTTTCCTGTTTTGTAATTTACTTTCTAATGGCTTGCTAAATGACTCACTAGCTAATTTGATTAATTTATTTAAATGAATACTAACAGAGCTAAATATGGATGCTGGCATTTTAACAAGGGTCATCTGCAAGTGGAATTCTCTAATTGGAAGATATGAATCTCCAATTACAGGAGGGAATCCAATAATGAGAATTATGCTGGCCAGTGGGCCTGAAATTTCTGTTGAGAGGAGGCACTTAAATTATACTCAGCATCTACTCTACCTAGGTCTAAAAGTAATTTAGGTGGTAGCAGAAGAAAGTTACTAAGCTGTAGGTTTTTAGATTATACATAGGTGGGCCTCCATTTTTCAAATGTCTTCTTTCAATTACCGTGAGCCAGGTATACATAGGTGGAGATGTTACTCCCTCTTCCTTCTTACTGTCAAGTCATTTTCTTTTTTTTTTTTTTTTTTTTTTTTTTTTTTTTTTTTGAGACGGAGTCTCGCGCTGTCGCCCAGGCTGGAGTGCGGTGGCGCGATCTCCGCTCACTGCAAGCTCCGCCTCCCGGGTTCACGCCATTCTCCTGCCTCAGCCTCCCTAGAAGCTGGGACTACCGGCGCCCGCCACCGCGCCCGGCTAATTTTTTTTTTTTTTTTTGTATTTTTAGTAGAGACGGGGTTTCACCATATTCGCCAGTATGGTCTCCATCTCCTGACCTCGTGATCCGCCCGCCTCAGCCTCCCAAAGTGCTGGGATTACAGGCGTGAGCCACCGAGCTCGGCTTTTTTTTTTTTTTTTTTTTGAGACGGGATCTTGCTCTGTCACCCAGGCTGGAGTGCAGTGGCACAATCTCGGCTCACTGCAAGCTCCGCCTCCCGGGTTCACGCCATTCAGCCTCAGCCTCCCGAGTAGCTGGGACTACAGGCTCCCACCACCTCGCCTGGCTAATTTTTTGTATTTTTAGTAGAGACGGGGTTTCACTGTGTTAGCCAGGATGGTCTCGATCTTCTGTCAAGTCATTTTCAAGCCCATTTCAAGCTTTCATTAATGCAGCAATTCCTTTCAACAACTCTGGAAGGGATTCTGATCTACCAAGCCTCATTTCATTAGTCATAAAGTGGTCAAAGTCTTGATACCAAGATAGCAGTTGAGACTCCAGGCTCTGGAATCCTTGGATCAAATACCAGCTGTATTGCTAGTGGCTGTCTGGCCTTCAGCAAGTTATTTAACCTATCTATGTGACTGTTCTCACCTGTACAATGGAAAGTAGAATTTACCTCATAGCATTTTTACAGGATTAAATAAATTAATATATCTAAGGCAGTAGTTTTCAACTAGGGAAATTTTGCCCACAGCAAACATTTAGTAATTTCTGGAGACATTTTTGGTTGTCACAATTAGGTGTAGGGTGGGGAAGGGTAAAGGCCAGGGATGCTGCTAAATACAGTAGGCCCTGCTTATCCATGGTTTTGCTTTCCTTGAGTTTAGTTACCCTCTGTCATCCTCAGACTATGATCTGAAAATATTAAATGGAAAATACCAGAAATAAACAGCTCATAAGTTGTAAACTGCATGCTTTTCTGAGTAGTGTGACGAACTCTCATGCTGTCCTGCCTAGGATGTGAATCATCCCTTTGCCCAGCCTGTCCATGCTGTCTATACCACCCGCCAGTGAGTTGCTTAGTAGTTGTCTAGGTTATCAGATTGACTCTTGCAGTACCTCAGTGCTTGCATTCAAGTAACTCTTATTTTACTTGTGGCCCCAAAGTGCAAGAGTACTAATGCTGACAATTTGGATATGTCAAAGAGAAGCTGTAAAGTGCTTCCTTTAAGTGAAAAGGTGTAAGTTCTCAATAAGGAAAGAAAAACATCATATGCTGAAGTTGCTAAGAATGTGGTAAGAATGAATCTCCGATCTGTGAAATTGTAAAGAAGAAAACAAAATCATGCTAGTTTTGCTGTCGCATCTCAAACTGCAAGAGTTGTGGCCACAGTGCATGATAAGTGCTTAGTCAAGATGGAAAAGGCAGATGTGAAGCAAAATGTGTTCAAATTATGGTAATCAGGTTCAGTACTGTTAGAGGTTTTAGCCATCCACTGGAGGTCTTGGAACTTACTGCTCCTGTGGATAAAGGGGGACCACATCCCATAACAGAATAATCTGACCCTCAAATGTCACTTGTGCAGAGGTTGAGAAACCCTGATCTAAGTAAGGTACCTGGCACAGAGTAATTGTTCAATAAAGCTATTATTATCCTGAAATGTGTATTTGTGGCCTAGAAAGGAGGTAAACGAGGGAATGTGACATTCTTACTAGAAAGAGGCACATCCCCTTTTTACTGTAATCTTAACCTCATACCTAGAAAAATATTTCTTGTGTAAATTTTGGAGTTACTCAAATGGACACAATACCTTGAATTTTAATTTTTAGAACTGAAGTGTTATCTACTGGGTTCTAATCTGTACACAGATTTCATTACTTTTCAATATCCTGTGGGATAGGTCAAAGGTATAGCTGAGAATAATCAAGTAAGAGAGCAGGTGACTGAGGACTTAACATTTTTTGCCCTCGAGGTGTACTGGCTGAACAATTAGTGGTATACCTCCAATGGATGTACTTAACCAACAATTGATTAATGTAATTAAGATGGTCTGGAGCATGAAAAACTCAGACTGTAAAAAGCCTACTCAGTCTCTCCAAAGTATGCATCACTGTGCTTGTACATTCCAAAGAAAAGTCAGGGGCTAAGTCCAGGAATAACACATCTCCTATCACATTAAGTACTCAGTAAGTATCAAACATAGCAGATGAAATTCAGAAACTGTCTCATGTGTAATCAGAGCTGTAATAGTGTCCTCCATTGCTGCCTGAAGTCTCACACTATTGTGTACCATAATTGTTTGCATTTTATGCCTTCAGCCATAGGCAGAGGCTTGGAGTTCATCTGACCAGAGGTTGATATTATTCAGCTTCATCTCCTACATTTAGAAAGCTTCATCTACTACAAAGTATGACTGCCTATCATGTGAATAGTTTAGATAATTTTGCATATAATTTCACTCTGCTGACACACTTTGCTTTCAAAAATGCTTAGTAGAGCTCAACAAAATCTTTCCTATAAAGATAACATTTCACTCAAGTTTGTCATTAAATGCCCTGAATACACAGTTAATGTTCATTTTCCAGCAGTGGCACACATTCATGAGACACAGTATGAGAAGTAGAAATTTGGTAGAGCAGAGGAAATTATAATCAATTCATTCATAACTGCATGTTGATGCACAGTAATGATGGGAATTTTAGAAAGCATTCAACTGTTCAAGTAAATAGTCGTAGCTTTGGCATGATGGAAAGAGCCGGGGTTTTAGAGGCATTGGAGATTTGCTTGGGTGTTAGATAAACCGTAATCCATTTCATTTTTCTTTCAAGGAGTTGAGGGTTCGATTTAATGGCAGTTTCCCTAAAAGTGTTTAATTCAACAGATTCTAAATACTAGTTATGTGCCAGGCATTTTGTTAGGTGAATGGGATACATGACTTATACAGAATGAGAGATTTCTGGCCTGGATTATAGGTACTATCAGCATTGGTAGAGTCATTCTCTGAAATAGAAAATCTTGGGGGAGGCCTAGGTCTGTAGGGGTGGAGAAGATTATGAGTTCAATTGCCATTAAAGTGCTTGTGAGAAATCCAAGTGGAAATGTGAAACAGGTAGTTGGATCTAGATTGGAGATAAGAGTTGCTGCAAGTATAAATGTAGGCATCATGAGGATAGAGATGGTTATTTGGTGATTTAGAGGTCTTAGTCCTTAAAATAGTATCCATCACTTGGTGAGGGAGAAACCATGTTGAAGTGAGTTTAGGAAAATATATAGA